GGAGAGGGAGGGGGGATGGTGAATTTCATCTTGACAAGACAGTTAGTGATATGTTGGGGATATAAAGAGGGGGTGGGAGAGGGGTACCAATTATGAACATCCCCAAGGTAACAAAATCTATCTCTTGAGTGGGGGGGATTTCGTTCCACGATTCGAGTACTTCTTCCTCACCGGCGACGGCGTCTGTTGGGTCTGGCTCCGGCGGCGGCGGCGGTGTCATGATGTCGGTTGCTTGCTTGCTTGGCAATCGGGGTTCAAGACCGAACTGTTGTGTGACGCCTATTTCCCAAACAAAAGAATCACAAATATCTCGTGCCCTTTTGGTAACAAAAACGAGTGTGTCTGTGTGAAGGTCGATGAAATGAGCGAGTGGTGAGTCCTCAGTCGAACCACATCCCACTCCCACTCTCCGGTGGTCCACGCCCGGCTGAACCGCGATTGGAAGGCAACAACTCCCAAGATCCCAACCAAACAGCTGCCAACGTGGTGACTGGTTCAGGGCGAAGGTGCGGCCCAATTAGGTGACTTGCAGCAGCAGCTTCCAGCTCTTAAAAGCTTGCAGTTAAGCTCACCTAACCTACCACTTAAGCAAAAAGTGGGGCTGGTGCCAGCTATGCTATGCCATGCTACGCCCACCTACATATACATATATATTTATATATATATATACGTGTCATTCTACATCCATCTCAAGGCACCACCCCATTTCACATCTGAGATATGATATTCGACTATGCCATCATGCGAGTACATTCGTCTCTCATCAACTCCTACAACAACCGATCAAACAAACCCATCATGTTACACAATACACCCTCTCCCAGCCTAACCACGCTCAACATTCCCTATTCCATACATACCAAACGTCCAAAACTTCCAAAAAACATTCAAATAAAAATCCCATTTTGTCCCGCAAACAAAAATCCCCAAAAATCCCCAAACCCCCATATCAAGTACCTAAACTAAAAACCCAGGCTTTCCCATAACCCCATATCCCATGAAGCGAAATAATAAACACAGACACCACAAAAACGTATCATGCCAACATATCCCTCCAACTATTTCTCTATGTGTTTTCATCATTGCCCGTCCTGCCGCAAGCGTGTGAAAGAGCCTACATCATATTCCCTAACCCAGCCGCCGCAGCTACATTATCAAACCCAAGCCCGTGCTGGGCCTCGCCGTTGATCCCAAAGAATTGAAACCTGTCCCTCCCATGTCAGCCAGTCATTCATACTGTAAAAAAAAAACGATGAAAAAAACAATAAAAAACAATAAAAAAAACAATAAAAAAAACAATAAAAAAACAATTAAAAAAAAAGAGAACTCACCAGTCTTCCACATTCATCGTCGAGGGAAGCGGCTGCCCCTGCACCGAGCTCGTGCTCCAGCTGTCGCTCGGGCTGTTGCCATCCACCATCTGGCTGTCAAAGTTCGTCTGCCAGATATTCGCCCCCTGGTTCCCCGGGAACCCAGCCATCCCCGGCTGGAGCAGTCCGTTCTTGTTGCTGTTGTTGTTCGTGTTTTGCATCGGGCTACCTGCTAATCCTCTATTGGTTGGCAAAGCTTGTCCAAACTGATGTTGTCCGTCCACGGGGGCGGGCCCACCTTGCATGTTCTGGTTCTGCATCTGAGCCATGACCGAGGCGTCCATGTTCTGATGGTGCTGGTGCGGCGAAAACTGCCCCTGGAACGGCGCTTGGACACCCTCGGGGAACAACTGATCCGGTTGAAAGTTTTCCCAGATGGACTGCGACAGGTTAGGTGAGTTTCTCGTGACCAGATAGAGGTCCGGCGGCGTGGCTGGAACAGAGAACGAAGGGTTAAATGGCGTTGCCGGTCGGGTGTGCGGGCGTGAGGCGGTCCCGCCCATGAACGCGTCGCCGTTGTTGCGGGTGTGAGGCGGCGGTGAGGTCGTGGCTGTGGCGGTGGCGGTGGGGGGAGGCATCGCGTTTGGATTCTGCTCCTTGTTCAGGAAACTGGGCGTTTGTGGCCGGGACCGTTCATAAGACTCCTGGTACTGTGGCTGTGGCGTGTTAACCGAGAAATCGATCGCCATCTCGTCGTATTTGCGCTTCTCTTGCATCCGCTGATGCTGTTCCAGCTGAGAAAGGCTCTGCTGCGCCTTGCGGTGTCTCTTGCCAGCCGCCTTCTGCAGCCTCTCCTCAAGCACCTTGTTTCCGAGAATCGACTCGAAAAGGGTGTGTACCATCTTGCCCACCAGCCAGACTTTGGACACATCCTTAAGAGCATCCATGCAAGTGCGGATCCGATCCTGCGTAACCTGTCGAATGGACTGCACCGGTGACCTGAGCTGGTAGACGTGCATGATGAGCGCCGAGAACAAGCTGTACACCACGTACGCCGGGCAGTAGCGGAGCTCCCCGTGAGCTGTGAGGTTCTCAATAATCGAGGTAATCATGGCCGCCGCCTGGAAAGCAATGTTGCGTGATGGGTAGGCCGAGTCTTCTGGGAACCTGTGGGAGCCACTCGGAGGCATGTGGGCGCGGTGAAGCAGGCAGAGTGTGGTGTAGTAGTTGGAATGAAGCAGTGCAGACCAGAAGTGATGCCTCGGCATCTCCCAGTACACAATCTTGGGGCAGTTCTGAAGCCAGTCCGCAAGCGCCATGTCGCTGTGTGTGAGGTCGATGGCGTTCTGCCGCCTGCCCTTGGCCGCCACCGAGTACTGCTGCGACAACACCAAGCCCATAATCTCACAGAGCTTGACATACTGCAAGAAGAACTGAACGTGAATGGGATCTGGCGGGTGTTCGCCAGTAGGGTGGTCGGTATCGTCCTCGATGAAGTCATCCTCGGTCAACATCTCCACGTCCGAATCATCGAGGTTGATGTGACAAGGCCGCCCAAGCGCAACCGCCACTGACCGATCCCTAGTGAACAGTGTCCACCAGATGCGCTTCCATAACCTCTTGTCAGACCTGCTGAGCTGTGACCCCTCCACACTCCGGTGCATGCCCGAGCCCTGGGCGACGATGGTGGCGACACGGGTCCAGTAAAACACATTCTTGGTGACGTCCTCGGGACCTTCCCAGTACCACCCCATCAACAAAAGGGACTGGACAATGGTCACCCGATCATCCTCATAGTTGGCATCGTACAGAGCCTTGGCTCTCTTGTAGAAAGTCAAGGCTGCCGGCGTCGAAGAGCCGTTGGCGTCCATCAACTGAGAATTGGTACACACCCGTGACCCTGCCAACAGCATGGCTTGTAGCAGAAGCAGAGACGGCGGGTTCTTGGGGTCCTTGTACCGGCGCATGAACTTGGTCTTGTTGATCACAGGGACGACGGGATGGATCCATCTGAAGTATGAGTCGATCAGCTCGTCGCAGAGGGACCTTGGCGGGAGCAGGAAGGCTCCTCGCTGGTGCAGGATTTCAATCTCGACATTGTCCAGCTCTGTCAGTCGTGCCCTGGATCCCTTGATATTCTCTGGCAGCGGGTAGTGGACGACATCTGCCGAGCTCTGACGGTCGTGAACAAGCAGCGTCAGGTTGGAAGACTCTCCAAGGTAGGCCACCCTGCCGGCCTCGGTGATGGGGGCCCGCGTAAACTTGGGCTTCATGACCAGATTCATATAGTTGGCCAAGGTGGCATTATCAAACTCCTCCTTCTTCTGTTGCTCCTCGGTAGGGGCGGTCAAGGGGGTAGCTTCGTGGGTGTGATAGACAGCAGGAGGTCGGGTGCCACTGGGAAAAGTGCTGGACCCGGGAGGAAGTGATGATGATCGATCGTCGACCTCGCCTCGTTCACTACAGCCGCCGCGTCAGCATCCAACTATCAGACCGAACAAGCATATAAACTTTGAGCTATCAAGCACAGCACAGCAAGCGCACAGACGAGAACCCCGAGTGCCTGGGCGAACCCGTGGAGAGCGAGGGCCTGCCACGCTATTTGTCGCAAAGCAAATAGATCAGGAGACAAAAGATATGGTGTGTGTGTGTGTGTGTGTGTGTGTGTGTATGTGTGTGGTGTCATTTACCTATCAGAATCCTTGGACTGGGCGATGCTGCTAGCCACCTTTTTGCGCTTCGGGGTAGGGATGCGGCATTCGATCTGAAAGGCGACGCAGTTGGTACACGGCACGCCGAGGCTGGCGGCATCGCATCGAACCTGCAACACTTGACGTGAGCAAAACAATACGATAAGACGAGAGATGGCATGTTCGTACTTTGCGTGCGTGGCATGTCTGTCGGGAATGACTGGTCAGCTTTCGAGGTCCCCAGTGATAACCAACAGCTTGGGGGGAGGGGGGTACGGATGAGCCGAGGCACGAGATAGGCGAGGTATCGCGAATCGCCGAGGGGCAGGTCAGGCCGCGGGTTGTCACCAAAAGATAACCCACCAGCCAAGGCTGCTGAAATATGGGACGTGATATAACAGTAAACTACTCACCTCGCATGCTCTTGAGGCTCGTTGTCTGTTTCAATGGCAACAAGACAAAGTCAGCGCAAACCGCTCCACACCCTCAACTCCCCCGCATGGCGCAACGCCGCAGCGGCCGCACCGGGAACCCACCTCCTGAAGCTCAATCCACCGGCCGTGTTGGTTGTGGATGTTGTGCCTGCCGCTGACGGGGCAGCAGATGGCGATACCGACTGTTGCGGAGATGTGGACGTTTGCTTGTTGGATGCCGGCGCGGGGGCTGCCGGAGGCGTTGAATCGATGTCCATCTTTGACTGGACAAGGTTCGCTGGACGTCGGTCGGTGTATATGGACGAGGCAAAGTATATCGCGTGCGTGTTTGAGACGGTGGGCTGTCGAGAGGAATCCGAACTGCGAGCGGTGGGATGAGTTAAGGTATGCTGTGCTTGGAAAATCCAGCGATCTAATTCGAGCCGGTGCTGTTGTTCGATGAGGCGAAGGTCTGGTCTGTATCCGGAGCTGCGTGGAATCTGGGAGACTAATTGGAACCTCCTTGGCTAGCTAGCTATCTGCCTGCAGACATTGAAGGGCAATCTGATTGTAAAATGGCGAGAAATGGTGCTTCGAAGGGGAAATGAGGTGGTGAAAGACAAAGCACCGGCTTAACGAAGACACGGAAGTCCAGGAGATCCAAGAGGTCGTGCGATGATTGATGCTCGTTGCCCTTTGAGGGTTTGAAGGGGGGTGGGCCGAGAGCGAGATGGGGGAGAGCGAGATGGGGAACAGCCTAAGAACGGTCGATCCACCGCTCACAGAGCAGCGCAGGTGCAGCCTGCCAGCGCCTTTAGTGCAAAACGGTTTGTCTTGGCCGAGCGTGCGGCCAGCCTCCGTCACAGGTGCAGCCACCAGGCTAGACAGGAATACCAAGAACGCCCTTTTCTTGTGCGCCCCTCAAATTGACAGTTCGTCTCGTCGTGATGGATCGTGCTTGCTGGAGCGTTTGTGAGTGCTTGCATATAGCGCAGGACCCCACTCACCTCAGCTGGGAACGGGAAGATGCGGATGCGGGACGGGGTTGCCTGGCATGTGAGAGAGGGAGAATAGAAAGAGGGGGGAGCTGTTTCGTTTTCCAGAAATCCAGCAGAGGCAGCACCGATGAGTGTAACAACTTCTGGCCAACCGAGATTTATCACGCGGCTTCTCCTCCCCTTTCAGGAAGTCATCACCGGCCCTACTGTACACCACAAAATCCGGGGATTCTTGGCCTTGAAACTTCCACTTTGCGCTGCCCCTGTCCACACCTCTCCACTTCGCGCTGTGCACTTATCATGGAGTTGCCTGCCACAGACTTGACAAGCTGCGCGCAATACGATCGATACCTTCGCCGTTTCCGGATCGTTACTCTCAACGTCAGGTCACCACTCAGCCCATTGGATTTCCCGCGCATCCCGGTGATCCAGATATGTACTGCTGCGGTGGACAGCTTCCAAAGCAGCGGACATCGCCAATGACCGCCAGGCGGGGGGGGGGGCGGGGAATGGGTGCTCCAGCAGAGCAGCAGCAGTAAGTATCCAGTGTGGCAAGCAGTAGTCATAAACGTTGTCCTTTGTTGATTTGTAAGAGGATTGCCAAAGTTTATCCTTCAACTATAAGGTAAAACGACTAATAAAATAACTGACAGTCAACTGATCTTTTTCCTAAGCTAGGAAAACGAATTCCTCGTTGATGTTTTGCTACAACCAACCACTCATCTAATATCACCAATTAGAGAATCATGCACCTTATGCAGTCCGTCCTGCATATACTCACCAACCTATGTAAAAACCCCTTTCCTACACCAACCGCAACTAGCACCTCCAAATGCCCCCGAAACACAACCCAGCAGATTGGCACCCCGAAACAAGGCCAATTTTTGTTTAAACTAATAGCCAAGCTTTTACAAACTCGTCCCTTTCCTCCTCTCCCAGGTAGGTTCTAGCCCACGAACGGGTATCATCCCCGATAGGTGGTTTGGCATACACACACACACCCACCCACCCGGGAGGGAGGTTTGGCACCACGACCGGTCCCCGTTCTCTTTAGCGTTAGATTGCCCTGTGCCTGTCACATGCTTCCGGACTTCCCCTCTGACTTTTTTTCCTCAGAGAAAAAGACCTGGAGTAAGAAATCGGTCATGAGGGGAAGGAAGAAGAAAGGTCTCCCCCGCACAGAGTCCATAGGGCTGGACTAAGGAGTAAACGGCCAGGAACCTACCTTTGTTGTTAGCTCGTGACTTCTGTGCATAGGTATGGGTTTTCAGACGAATATTGATATCCTACCTGGCATTTGAGATGGCACATGTAACCCCGAGTTTCCTGAGCCAAATGCAATACACCAACAGATGATTCTCTACTAACGCTAAACACCTGTTCAAACTCCCCGCCCCTGATTACATGACTTCCACTCACCAACACCCCCCTTCCCCCCCTTACCATCCCAACCACTCCCACCCCCTACCTAGCCAGCATGACTAACAATCTCGTTCACCATCTCCCCTTTCTCCTCATCATAATACGAACAAATCTGATTCGGCAGCGGCAGCTCCTTGTAGTCATCATCCTCCCCAATCACATTCACATTCACCCCCGTGCTCTTGCTCGTGAAAACCCTCGTGCTCTTGCTCTCCTTACTAAAGTAAATCTGCGCACCATCCACCTGATCCAACAGCACCGTCGGAATCTTCCCCATGACCTGCAGCGCCAAGTTCTGCGACTTGACCGCGTCAATGGTGGAGACCAAATCATCCACAACAAGAGACAATCTCGTCGTGTTTTCAATCGTGACAGCGTTCGCCTTGCCCTTGAGGACGATGGTGGTTTTGGTGCACTTGGAGATGAGGAGGGAGTGGCTCATTTCGACTTCAATCTCGATGGGTTCGTCTTGGCTGTCGTAGTTTTCCTGGAAGAAAGTCATTAGCTTGGTTTGCGATAAAACCAAGACCGCAAGCACCTACAATGGTCCACTTGTTTCCTTCAAGCACCTTCTTGGGCGGCTTCTTAACCCGCATGCTCTCCGGCTTGGGCTTCTTCCCCGGAGCCGGGCTCTTCCCGCGAGCAGAAGAGCCCTCAGACGACACCACCGAGCTCGCGCGGAGCGACGGGTTCTTATGCGTCATCTCAGACTTGTCGACCTTCCTAAGACCCTTGGTCACCGCCTCGCCCTGGTTCAACTCCGAGAAAACAGCGCCAAACCCGCCGGCCGGAGCAGGCTCCGCCTTTTGCTCGTTAATCCTAAGAACCGGTGGAGGACCGGGAGGGGGAGGACCATTTGTAATTGTTCGATGACATTGTCCCCTGAATCCCTTGTTATTTTGCCGGCGCAGGCGTTGCCGCTGCTGCGAGGTGGCCGCGAAAGGGTTTTTATTATTTGTTGTGTGCTCTCGGCGTGATGGGGCTAACCTGTCGGGGTTGCGCGCCGTGGGCTTGTAGACATAATGCAAGATATTCAATGGATCTTGCTCGTTTAATGAACAAT